GCCATGGGCCACATGTGCCTGTTGAGCACTTAAAATGTGGCCTGTCCAAATTGAGGGGTGTACAATACACACTGGACTTCAAAGACTCATTTTTAAAAAGAATGTAACATATTCCATTAAAAAGTTCACATTAATTACATGTTTTAATGACATTTTTTATATAATGGGTTAAATAAATTATATTGCTAAAATTAATGTCATCCGTTTTTGTTTTTTTGAGATGGAGTCTCACTCTGTCGCCCAGGCTGCAGTGCAGTATGTCAATCTTGGCTCATTGCAACTTCCACCTAGCAGGTTCAAACCATTCTTGTGCCTCAGCCTCCCAAGTGGCTGGAACTACAGGCATGTGGGAATATGTCTGGCTAATTTTTGTATTTTTAGTAGAGATGGGGTTTCATCATTTTGGCCAGGCTGGTCTCGAATTCCTGACCTCAAGTGATTGGCCCACCTCAGCCTCCCAAAGTGCTGGGATTACAGGTGCTGAGACACCATGCCTGGCCTGTCATTGGTTTTTAAAAAATGTTTCTTAATGTGGCTATTAGAGTTTAAAATTGTCTATAAGGTTTGCATTACATTTCTTTTGGGCAGTTTTGTAAAGATAAAATTGAGCTACTAAATTAGAAAGAAGTAATATATTTCTATATTTTCTTTATCTGCATAGAATGAGCCCCTCTTCTTCCTTTATGAGCCAACTGGTTTCTGTGGACCTTCATTGGCAGTTAATGCCTTGCTGTCGGCACACACTGATCCTTGTGACCAACCATCCATCACTAGGGTCATAATAATGATAACTGCCGCCAACTTTAGCCAGCTTCTGTGACTGTCCAAAGAAACTTAGTTGCAGATTAATCCTCAGACAGCAAACAACCAACAGGGAAGAAACAAACTTCTTATTTTTAAAATTCCTTTGCCAGAGATACTTGATATCAAATTGGAGAAAGTTGCAATGGCAAATAAAATAAAAATAAAAAGGAGAAAAATTGCATGTGGCAAATACCACCAGTAGTCAATCCTGTACACATTTTCTCCTTCCTCTTTGCTAATAAAAGTCCCAATTTTGTTTAAGGCTACAATGTACCTAGTTCAAAAAAACAAATGACGGTATAAGAGGTGGCCATACAACATAGCTTCAGCCAATGAAATACAAAAAAAAGTGTCACGGTGCATCTTTTAGAAAGGCTATCTTGATTTTTAAAAGGATGGGTGGGGACAAACTCAATGGATGCACACTTTTTTTTTTCCCTTCTGTCTTTTCTATCTGGTACAGGGACACAATACTTCAAGGTGGAACAACAAGCTTGACACCTGAGGGTAAATGTCACACACTATGAGTGGGCCAGGAAGCCAGAAGGAGCTGGGCACCCAATGACTTCCTTGGCCAGCTGCTCTGGCCCTGGGTCCATCTACCTCTCGACTTCCTGTTACAAGAGCCGAATAAACCCTACTTGTTTAAGTCACTCTCTTTGGGTTTCTGATAAACACAGCTAAACACAACCCCAGCTGAAACTTGCAGTCCAGAAAATGCTAGTGTTCACAATCTGGTCCTAAAATCTGCTATCCTAAGGACATTTTCACTTCCAAGAAAATTCGTCACTATTGGACTAAAGCAAATAGTTATTTTGGCTCATGCAATGAGAGTAAGCATGAATTATTTGGCCTAGGCTTCTTATGATCCAGCATACGTAACAGTCATCATTTTGAAAGATATATACTATACATCCATACATCTACTTAAGTATATAGATACAAATACATATTTTCAAGAAGGCAAGGGCTTTATCTATCTTGTTCATCATTTTATTCCCAGGCCCTAACAAAGGCCAAGTCCCCTTTTCCTTTTAAAGCTGACTTCTCTTCCCAGCGATATTCACAACATATGTTACTACCATTCAGAGGTAGCAACATGGAAGACATCCTAGGCTAAGTTACAGGAGACCTAGATCTAATCCTGGCTCTGCCAAATAAACAGTTCTGGGACATTGAAACATTTCTTCAAATAAAAACTCGTGCTGAAGTTCAATGTACTAAGCAGGTAAGATTGAAGAGAGAAAACCCACAGCCCCTTCTACTGGGTCATAGGATAATAAGAAATCCCCAAGAAACTTAATAGCATTGCAGACAAATTTAAAGTAAACTTCTAACTCAGTTACATAGATTTGAAGGAATGTTGCCATGTTCATGTATACAAAATGTGACTTGGTATGCGATCAGAAATCAGTGCACAGAGGCCTTTGGAAATGACCTGTATTTGGGAACTATATAACCAAGTGTTTTAGCACATAGGCTTTGGATGACCTAGGACCAGTTAATTATCCCATTAATGGGATTGATGATACTCCCAAAAAACACAATCCTGAATGCCATAATTAAAGTGTTGAAATCTCAAAAGATCAAAATTCCCAAAATATAATTCTGGAAAAAAATAATTTAAAAGACATTTATTTACATTTATAAAAGGAGATTTATTTGATTTACTTGTTTTCTGTCATATGAAAACATGACAGAACATTTCACAGGCCACTTTACACAATAAAATAGGCAATAGTAACATCTGCATTTTTACAAGAATGAACACATGGGTATACCAACAACAGGCACATGAGTATAATGTTATGAGCAGATGAACCGTATTCATAAATAAGTCAAAATTCAAAATGTATAAATACACAACACTATGATGGTAATTGTGCACACTTTATAACTGTAGACATCTGAAATACAATGACAGATAATCTAAGTCTTTTCATGAGACTGATCAAAAACTTCAGTGAGTCACCACGGCATATGCAATTGCCCAAAGAGCTGAGATCTTGAGAAATTTTATGTTTCACAAATGCAGATGTACAAAAAAGACATCTCTTCACTTATTGGGAAAGTTTCAACATTTTTACATACACGAAGCTTTTACACAAAGTCATTGTTGTGATGATGCACTTTTGTGGAGTCAAATTTGCAAAAAATGCATGAAACAAATTAGAACTTTCTAAAAGTCTTTATATAATTTATACTGCAATATTGCAAATGATGTGATGATGAAATACATATATAGCAAATTGTGAAAAGTAATAATAATGCTGACATTTAAAATAGTGGGGGAAAACCAGAAAGAAAATTCAACATTTGAAAAGGTGTATTACAGGGCTACATTATGAATAATTGTATGGAGGTAGTCCATAGAGCTGGCCAACTTTCACATTCATATTTTGAAGTCTTGCATGGCAATAAATTGCTAGTTTTTTTCTTTTAAGACATGGCTTTCCTTAGAGAACATGTTCATATTTCATTCATTTTTGACATAGCACTGCTCTTTTTGAAATTCTTCTATGATTCAATATACACCAACATAAGCATTCCCTATTAAATATTTCCATCTTTGCATAATTTTTCTATGCTGTTTTGGGTACACAGAAATTCATTCCACATGCACTCATATGCAGAAGCAATACTGATCATCAAATAGTCACATTATTGTGTGTCTTCTTATCTTACTATGTGCATAATTATATTTGAACCAGTTGGTAACTTTGCTGGCTTCTTCAGGCAAATGTGGCTTTAATTCATTAAAATCTCCTAAAATGTCATTAGCTGGGAGGAATTCCATGCAAACAAAGGAAGTATTTTTAAACCATATGGGGTGGCCAATTCACTTGTCTCAATTTTTCACCAAATGCCTTGGGCTGAATGACAAAAACAAATTTTACTGATGACACCTTGAGATTCACATTTAGAAGCCTTGATGGGAACTAATTCCAAATCTGTTATGGTTTGGGGATTCTACTGAAATCCATTTTCTTCCGCAAAGTCCACCAAATCTTCAAATAAGTGTTTATAAAGTGCTTTACTTTTTCCAGTCATTAACATATAAACAAGCGTAAGTTCAAGAATATTTCATGAATTGTATATAGTTGATAAGAAATATGGGGACAATTTTGAAAGTGCCATTCTTCAGCCAAAGTAAAGCATGCACTAGTTTGTGTATGTTAGATTTAGTGGCAAATATAGGAAGTCTGTCTTCTTTGACAGTCAAATCCCTAACTAAGAATATTTCACCATTCAGTGAGTTTCGGAACACTGGAGGAACCTCTATATCAGCAAGTGTCTGGTTCAGAAGGTTGCTCAGCTTGTGGAATTCTTTTTATTCTCTGATGAAGAGTGTTTTGGGAAGGCAAGCATGACACTATGTGTGAAGGGGCAGAAGTCATACATGATTGAATCATTTGGCAGGGGACTTTTTTTTTAATTTTTCACCTATGTTTTTATTCTGTGATTTTCAAAACACTCAGAACATTGAGGACAGATCCTTCTTGCATAGTGCACTCAGACTCACACACTAATCTCCTCTGGAAACACCCTCACAGATACACTGCTTTACCAGGTTCTAGGTATTCCTTAATGCAGTCAAGGGATTTTAGACTTCAGGAATTTCAGTGTTTGGGATTATGTCTTCTTGGTTATGATTGGTGCCATTCATGAACTACTTCCCCTATCTATAAAATTAGAATAATTTTGTTAGACAATATGAAAATGCACAATGTGAATCTCCAAGGGAGAGACATATGCAAGGTTTTCTAAATGTATTTGATGATAGAACTCTTTTGTGGTAGCCTATCCTCCTGACTGCTATTCCAGAACTCACACCTTGGAAAACTGTCACAGTCACTGTTGCATCTTTACAGTTATAAAAACTTAATTTTTTTCTAGATTAAAGTAGAATTTTAATAAGGGGTATATAAAGACGTCAGTCTTGGAAGAAGTCTTCTAACACCTTCTTTCATGAATCCCCCTAACTACCACCAATTGGCTTAAAGCATGAAAAGTACATCTGCTTCTCGGATGAGACATTCACCAAATTCTAACCATGGCAAGTGTTTAAAGTCCTATCAAACTTCTCACAGGGCAAAAAATAAAAGAGCAGAAGTAAGGATTCTAGTTCTGGTTCCCGGCTCCTCCAGCTCATTCTTGTAATGCCCCCGGTGCTTTCTTTTCCTTTTTCTGATCAGGAGTCATCCTTTTCTTCCTCACATTTCAAACGCCCAGAGAGGTCAGCTAGAAGATAGACTGAACAACCAGGAGCGTACTGTAGCTTTCCTCCTTGAACAAGCCTTCCGCATCAAGGAGGACATCTCTGCTTGTCTACAGGGGGCCCATGGCTTTCAGAAAGAAGAATTGCTCGCCAGGAAATTACTGGAAAGCCACATCCAGACCATCACCAGCATCGTCAAAAAACTCAGCCAAAACATTGAGGTAGTTCTCTGTTTTTACTTATTTAGTTATTGTATTTTGGTAGCATTGCTTGATAAAGATTATTAACCATCAGTGTCATTTTTCAAGTGCAGAAACATCACTGTTGCTTAAGTTTAGATAATTACATTTTAGTGGCCTGAGGGAAACAGTTCAATTTTTCAGCTGCTCATATATACCAAAAAGTAGAAGGAACATCTATTCGAGAAATATTTACTGTATATTTATTTTGTGACAACAAAGCCATTATATCAGACATTGTGCTAAGGTGCTTATGTTAGCATAAATCTCCAAGATTCTACTAATGTAATAATTTCAAATAGAGGTTGTCATGATGCATGTTGGTAATGTTCCATCGAATAGCCAGTGCAATCTGAGGCCAGTAATTTCTCTGGCCCCATCTTCTACCGTTCTTTCCTTCACTCTGGCCACACTGACCTCCCAGCTGTTCCGAGGGCATTCCAAACACGCTCTGGACTTGGGGCCTTTGCACTCATAATTCACTCTGGCTGGATCATCTTCCCCTAGATATTCCTATGCAATGTCCTTTATTCCTTCAGTTCTCTGTTCAAATACTACCTTATAAGAGAAGACTTGCTTGACATTTTATAAAATAGCACCACTCCCCACATGGTTTCAGTCTATCTTAAAGCCTGCTTTATTTTTTTGTCACATAGCACTCATTGCAAACTACCGTGGTCTATATTTGATTTGTTTGTTTTCTCTTTATAAGATATAATCTCTATAAAGGCAAAGGGTTTATTTTCTTCATGCTAAATCCCATATCCCAGACCAGACAACAGCACTATTGTAGCTAGCACCCTAAATATTTCTTAAATAGATGGGTGAATAAATAATTGATTTTTAAGACATTAAAGTAAAAATAGAGTTTCTCATCAAAAAAGAAAATTCTTTGTCTAAATCAAGATAAACATGCTTGTGCAACAGGTCTTTCAGAGTTGTTAAGGTGCGAACGTATGTGATTAATATGGGTTAACAACTTTCATGCAAGGGCTGCAGAGAATATACTTTAGGAAACTGACCCAAAACTTGCAGCGTTATCATGAGAATTGACCACAGTGCCCTCACAATACTTGTCTTTTTCTACTATCAGGGAGAATACTGGATTTGACTAAAATTATTAATTTATTTTTTATCTGCAGGGTTTAGCAGACCCGATTATACATCTGAGGCAGTGTAAAAAGTTTAAAAAACTCTCAGTGAACTTTTAAAAGGCATTTATTGGTATTTAGCCCATTTTGAATCGACCCCAATGCCTCAAAGGTCAATGCCACTCAAAAGGTAATTAGAAGTATTTCCATGCCTAATGAAGTATCATGAAAGTGACAAGAGGCAAGAAGCCCTGTGCCTTTTGAAATAACTAGAAAATTAAGTAAGTATAGCATAGTGCTAAAGTAAGATTCCAATTTAGGAGTTGAAACTTCCTGCTAATTGGAAAAGCCAACAACATTCTTAGAAACATCGAACTGTTTCTAAGAATATTCTATATTTTGATCTGGATTGTTATATAGTTGATTACACTACATTGGGTCAAGATCCGCCCAGATGTACACTTTGACTTGTTCATTCAATACATGTCAATATACCCCAGTAAAACACTATTAGCAATAAGAAGAAAGTCTCCAAACCTCTAGAAATCTTATTAACAGTTTATTTTCTTATAATAGTGGGTATCTTAGATTAGCTCTCTGAAAAAGGAAAAAAAAAATCCAAAACATTTTCTAAAATAAAAGACAAAGACAAAAACCTCAAAATACCTACAATCCTGTTAAGGGTTTGGCATATATGGGGAAATGAAAAGGACTGGTTTGAGTGTATGGAAAACTGAACTAGAAAATATATTAAAGGCTGTAGATAACATAGTTACATTATGAAGAAGAAACTGTTTGGGCTAACTTTAGTAAATAACTGTAAGCACTTTATAGAGAAATGGATGCTATTTAAGTATGTTAAAAGAAGCTAACCTCATTAACCAAGTCAGCCCATTTGCAAGTTGGCTAACCAAATCAATTCAAGTGTGAGCTAAAGCTTAACACAGGTCCTTAAAAGAAATGGTTTTTTTTTTTTTAATCTACCACAATTGCATCAGTTAAAGTGCTTATTTCTTTTTAAAAATCAAATGATTCCTTTTTTTTTAAAGGAGGCAGTTGATTACAAGTTTTAAAATTAATTTATTTTTAACTCAAAGAAAATTTTATGTATAACATTGTTTTACTATGGGTTTTCTCCTCAACTTACAAAAGCAATACTTGTTCATCATAATTATTTTGAAAGTTCAGGAAAAAAATTTAAACTTGGGGAAAAATTATCTCACAATTCTACCACCAAATGGTGATCTCTACAAATACTGAAATGAATCTCCCTCTAGTCCTTCCAAGTATTCCATTTAGGAGACTGAGACTACGTTTGTAAGCACGATTTTTATTATAACATTCATCCTAAACTCTATCATATCTCATTAAAACCTCTTTGCATGGTGCATACACCATTATTTATTTAATTATTCTCCTAATGTCAAAATATCACTTTGGAGGGCTGAGGCAGTAGGATCAATTGAGCCCAAGAGTTCTAGACCAGCCTGGGTAAGTAACATAGTGAGACCCTGTCTCTACAAGAAAAAATAAATAATTAGTTGGGTGTGGTAGTGTACACCTATAGACACAGCTCCTTGGGAGGTTGAGGTGGGAGGATTACCTGAGCCCAGGAGTCAAGACTGCAGTGAGCTATGATCATGCCACTGCACTCCAGCCTGGGTGATGGAGTGAGACCCTCTCTCAAAATAAAAATAATTTTAAAAAGAAATATCTTTGTGCATAAATATGTATCTGCATTTGGATTATTTCCATCATATCTATTCTTGGAAGCGGAATTACTAAGGTATGAATACCGTGAAAGCTATTGATACATGTTGCCATAAAGTTTATACTAATTTACACTTTCATCAGCATTCTCTCAGTGCTTTTTTCACTTTATCTATGCCAGAATTGAAATGTATTACTTTAAGTTCTCTAACCTCATAGAACAGAAATAAAATTTTCTTCTTCTTAGTGAAAAAGTGTTGAATCCACTTTTTTAAGTGACTGTTCTAAAGTAACAATTTTGGCTGAGTGCTGTGGCTCACACCTGCACAGTGGTTTTGGAAGCTGAGTGGGGAGAACTGCTTGAGGCCAAGAGTTTGCGACCAGCTTGAGCATCAGAGCGATACTCTGTCTCTACCAAAATAATAATAATAATAATAATAATAAAGTGACAGTTTCATTTCCTCTGCTAATGATCTACTTGATCTATTTATGTCTTTTGTTAATTCATCTTTTTGGGTTTTAGTACTTTTTAATTTTTGTTGATTTGATGAGTTCTTTTATTTTACATATTAGAGATAATAACTGGTAATATGTTACTAAGTGTTTAACAATCAACAATCAGTTCTTTTCTACAGGAAAAAAAAAGCCTGGCTTGTAGTATTTGCCTATTTCTATGGTGCAAATACTCCTACTATGATTTCAAACAACCAGCAAGATGACACTGCCCACAAAGATGAGAAGAGGCGTACATAACCCACTTTCACAGACAGATGCAGGCTGCTTGCAGTACATCACTGAAACCCTTGGCAATAGCATATGTTATTAATGTTTTTCCAGTTTGCTTTTTTAGCCTTATTGTATTTACAGTGTTTTCACAAGTTTTACACTAAGGTAAATATTCAAATATTTTGCTTTGTAATTGCTCTCATTACTGTAGTCCCTGTTTATCCATGGTTTTACTTTCTGTGATTTCAAAAATTTCCAAAAATATTAAATGGAAGATCCCAGAAGCAAGTAATTCATAAGTTTTCAATTATATGCTGTTCTAAGTAGTGGGATGAAATCCTGCATATCCTGCTTCATCCCACCCACGGTGTGAATCATCCCTTTGTCCAGTGCATTCACACTGTCAACACTCCCTGCCTGTTAGTCACTCAGTAGCCTGTTGGTTATCAGATCAACTGTTGAGATGAGATTTCACAATACTCATGTTCAGGTAACCCTAATTTTACTTAATAATGCCCCAAAGCATAAAAGCAGTGATGCCGGCAATTCCACTATGGCAAGGAGAAGCCGTAAAGTGCTCTCTCTAAATGACAATGTTAAATTTCTCAACGTAATAAGGAAAAAAAATCATATGCTGAGCTTGCTAAAATGTATGATAAGAACAAATCTTCTATTCATGCAATTGTGAAAAAAGGAAAAAGAAATTCATGCTAGTTTTGATTTCTCACTTCAAACTTCAAGAGTTACAGCCACAGTGCATGTGATGTTACAGTGCACTGTTATAATTGTTCTATTTTTAGATATTGTTAATCTCTTACTGATAAGTAACTTGATCATAGGTATGTATGTAGGAAGAAACAATATATATAGGAGTCAGTACTATCTGAGGTTTTGGGAATCCACTGGGAGTCTTAGAACATATCTCTCTTGGATAAGTGGGGACTGCTGTACTTCTAAGGTTTTTTTTTCTAAAATCTATAATGATATATGAAATGAGGTAAGAATCTAAATTATTTTCTTTTTTTAAATTTATTTATTTTACTTTAGGTGCATACTATATCTGGCATTTCTCCCCATGTTATCCCTCCTCACTCTCCCCTCCCTCATTACCCCCCATTGTTTCTCCCCTACCCCCTTCAACTGTCCCCTGTGTGTGATGCTCCTCTCCCTGAGTCCACGTGTTCTCATTGTTCAACACCTACCTATGAGTGAGAACATATGGTGCTTGGCTTTCTGTTCTTGGGTCAGTTTGCTGTGAATGATGATTTCCAGACTCATTCAAGTCCCTACAAAGGACATGAACTCATTGTTTTTTATGGATGTGTAGTATTCCATGGTATATGTACCACATTTTCCCTGTCCAGTCTATCATTAATGGGCATTTGGGTTGGTTCCAGGTCTTTGCTATTGTAAACAGGGCTGCAATGAACATATGTGTGCATGTGTCTTTATAGTAGAATGATTTATAGTTCTTTGGGTATATACCCAATAGTGGGATTGCTGGGTCAAATGGAATTTCTATTTCTAGATCCTTGAGAAATTGCCACACTGTCTTCCACAATGGTTGAACTAATTTACACTCCCACCAACAGTGTAAAAGTGTTCCTATTTCTCCACATCCTCTCCAGCATCTGTTGTCTCCCAATTTTTTAATGATCGCCATTCTAACTGGTGTGAGATGGTATCTCAATGTGGTTTTGATTTGCATTTCTCTAATGACCAGTGATGATGAGCATGTTTTCATATGTTTGTTGGCCTCATATATGTCCTCTTTTAAAAAATGTCTGTTCATATCCTTCACCCACTATTGAATGGAGTTGTTTTTTTCTTGTATATGTGTTTTAGTTCTTCATAGATTCTGGATATTAGCCCTTTGTCAGATGGGTAGATTGCAAAAATTTTTTCCCATTCTGTTGGTTGCTGATTCACTCTAATGATGGTTTCTTTTGCTGTACAGAAGCTCTGGAGTTTAATTAGATCCCATTTGTCTATCCTGGCTTTTATTGCCATTGCTGTTGGTGTTTTAGTCATGAAGTCCTTGCTATACGTATGACCTGGATGGTTTTGCCTATGTTTTCTTCTAGTGTTTTTATGGTGTTAGGTTTTATGTTTAAATCTTCGACCCATCTTGAGTTAATTTTAGTGTATGGTGATAGGTAGGGGTCCAGTTTCTGCTTTCTGCACAATGCTAGCCAGTTTTCCCAACACCATTTATTAAATGTGGAGTCCTTTTCCCATTGCTTGTTTTTGCTGGGTTTGTCAAAGATCAGATGGTTGTAGATGTGTGGTGTTTCTTCTGGGGTCTCTGTTCTGGTACCAGTACCATGCTGTCTATGTCTCTGTTTTAGTACCAGTACCATGCTGTTTTGTTTACTGTAGCCTTGTAGTATAGTTTGAAGTCTGGCAGTGTGATGCCTCTGGCTTTGTTCCTTTTGCTTAGGATTGTCTTGGCGATGTGGGGTCTTTTGTGATTCCATATAAAGTTTAAGGTAGTTTTTTCCAGTTCTGTGAAGAAGGTCATTGGTAGCTTGATGGGGATAGCATTGAATCTGTAGATTACTTTGGGCAGTATGGCCATTTTCATGATATTGATTCTTCCTAACCATGAGCATGGGATGTTTATCCATCTGTTTGTGTCCTCTCTTATTTTGTTGAGCAGTGGTTTGTAGTTCTCCTTGAAGTGGTCCTTTACATCCTTTGTTAGTTGTATGCCTAGGTATTTTATTCTCTTTGTAGCAATTGTGAATGGGTGTTCGCTCTTGATTTGGCTCTCTGTCTGTCTGTTATTGGTATATAGGAATGCTAGTAATATTTGCACATTGATTTTTGTATCCTGAGACTTTGCTGAAGTTGCTTCTCAGTTTGAGAAGATTTTGGGCTGAGATGATGGGGTCTTCTAGATATATGATCATGTCATCTGCAAATAGAGATAATTTGACTTCCTCCTTTCTTAATCAAATATGCTTTATTTCTTTTTCTTGCCTGATTGTTGTGGCTAGAACTTCCAATACTATGTTGAATAGGAGTGGTGAGAGAGGGCATCCTTGTCTAGTGCCTGATTTCAAAGGGAAGTCTTCCAACTTTTGCCCATTCAGTATGATATTGGCTGTAGGTTTGTCATATATAGCTTTTATCATTTTATGATACGTTCCATCAATACCTAGTATATTGAGAGTTTTTAGCATGGAGGGCTGTTGAATTTTATCAAAGGGCTTCTCTGCATTTATTGAGATAATCATGTGGTTTTTGTCTTTGGTTCCGTTTATGCGATGGATTACATTTATGGATTTGGGTATGTTGAACCAGCCTTGCATCCCCAGGATGAAGCCTACTTGGTCGTGATGGATAAGCTTCTTGATGTGCTGTTGCAATCTGTTTGCCAGTATTTTACTGACGATTTTTGCATCGATGTTCATCATGGATATTGGCCTGAAGTTTTCTTTTTTCGTCGAGTCTCTGCCTGGTTTTGGTATCAGGATGATGTTGGTCTCATAAAATGAGTTAGGGAGGATTCCCTCCTTTTGTATTTTTGATACAGTTTCAGAAGGAATGGAACCAGCTCCTCTTTGTATGTCTGGTAGAATTTGGCTGTGAACCTGTCCGGACCTGGACTTTTTTGGTTGGCAGGCTAGTGATTGCTGCCTCTACTTTAGCCCTTGTTATTGGTCTATGCAGGGTTTCAGCTTCCTCCTGGTTTAGTGTTGGTAGAGAACAAGTGTCTAGGAATTTATCCATTTCTTCCTGGTTTACTGGTTTATGTGGGTAGAGCTGTTTGTAGTAATCTCCGATGGTAGTTTGTATTTCTGTGGGATCAGTGGTGATCGTTTTTTATTTCATCTATTTGATTCTTCTCCCTTTTCTTTTTTATTATTTGAGCTAGCAGTCTGTCTATTTTGTTGATCTTTTCAAAAAACCAGCTACTGGATTTACTGATTTTTTAAAGGGGTTTTTGGGTCTCTATCTCCTTCAGTTCTGCTCTGATCTTAGTAATCTCTTGTCTTCTGCTAGCTTTTGAGTTTTTTCGATCTTGCTCCTCTAGCTCTTTCAATTTTGATGATAGGGTGTTGACTTTGATCTTTCCTCTCTTCTCTGGTGGGCATTTATTGCTACAAATTTCCCTCTCGATACTGCTTTAAAGGTGTCCCAGAGATTCTGGTAAGTTTTGTCTTCATTCTGGTTGGTTTCAAAGAACATCTTCATTTCTGCCTTCATTTCATTGTTTATCCAGTCAACACTCAGAAGCAAGTTGTTCAGTTTCCAAGTGGTTGTGCGGGTTTGAGTGTGTTTCTTGAACCTGAGTTCTAGTCTGATTGTGCTGTGGTCTGATAGACTGTTTGTTAGGATTTCTGTTCTTTTGCATTTGCTGAGGAGTGATTTGCTTCCAATGATGTGGTCAGTTTTAGAGTAAGTGCAATGTGGTGCTGAGTAAAATGTATATTCTGTGGATTTGGGATGGAGCATTCTATATATGTCTATTAGATCTGCTTCGTCCAGCTCTGCATTCAAGTCCTGGATATCGTTGTTAATTTTCTGTCTCATTGATCTGTCTAATATTGACCGTGGAGTATTGAAGTCTCCCACTATTATTGTGTGGGAGTCTAAATCTCGTTTTAGGTCATTAAGAACCTGCTTTATGTATCTGGGTGCTCCTGTGTTGGGGGCGTATATATTTAGGATAGTTAGCTCTTCCTGTTGGATTGATCCTTTTACCATAATGTAATGTCCTTCTTTGTCTCTTTTGATCTTTGTTGGTTTGAAGTCCGTTTTATCAGAGACTAGGATTGCAACCCTGCTTTTTTTTCTTCTTGATTTGCTTGGTAAATCTTCCATCCCTTTATTTTGAGTCTATGTGTGTCTTTGTATGTGAGATGGGTTTCTTGAATACACCACACCGATGGATTCTATTTAATCCAGTTTGCCAATCTGTGTCTTTTGATTGGGGCATTTAGGCCATTTACATTCAATGTTAATATTGTTATGTGTGAATTTGATCCTGCCATTTTGTTACTGGCTGGTTTTCTTTCTCATTAGTTGACTCATTTTCTTCATTGCATTTTTGGTCTTTGCCAACTGGTTTACTTTTGCAGTGGCTGGTACTTGTTCCTTTAGATGCTTAGTGTTTCTTTCAGAAGCTCTTGTAGGGCAGGTCTGGTGGTAACAAAATCTCTCAATAATTGCTTGTCCATAAAGGATTTTATTTCTCCTTCACTTATGAAGCTTAGTTTGGCTGGATATGAGATTCTGGGTTGAAAATTCTTTTTTATAAGGATGTTTAATATCGGCCCCCACTGTCTTCTGGATTGTAGAGTTTCTGCTGAGAGATCCATGGTAAGTCTGATTGGCTTCCCTCTGTGGGTGACCTGACCTTTCTCTCTGGCTGCCCTTAGCATTTTTTCCTTCATTTCGACCCTGGTGAATCTGACAATTATGTGCCTTGGGGTTGCTCTTCTTGAGGAATATCTTTGTGGAGTTCTCTGTATTTCTTGAATTTGAAAATTGGACTGCCTTGCTAGGCTTGGGAAGTTCTTCTGGTTAATATCCTGGAGTGTGTTTTCCAGCTTGGATTCATTCTCCCTGTCATATTCAGGTACACCCATCAAGCATAGATTAGGTTTTTTCACATAATCCCATATTTGTTGGAGGCTTTGTTCATTTATTTTCACTGTCTTTTCTCTTGTATTGCCTTCTCTTTTTACTTCAATAAGTTGATATTCAATCTCTGATATCCTTTCTTCTGCTTGATCGACTCAGCTATTAAAAATTCTGTTTGCTTCACATAGTTCTTGTGCTGTGTTCTTCAACTCCATCAAGTCATTTATGTTCTTCTCTAAGATGGTTATTCCAGTTAGCATTTGGTGTAACCTTTTTTCAGGGTTTTTGGTTTCTTTGCATTGAGTTACAACGTGTTCCTTTAACTCTGAACAATTTGTTATTATCCATCTTCTGAATCCTGTTTCCGTCAATTCTTCACACTCCATCTCAGTCAAGTTGTGATTCTGTGTTGTTGAGGAGTCGTGGTTGGAGCTAGGAGATCTCTGGGTTTCTGCATCTCTTTCGCTGGGTGTTGTAAGTTGAGTTGTGTCTAACCTGCCATCTTGGATCCAAGCTCTAAATTAATTATTTTCTAAGTAACTAGAGACCCAACCCACTTGTGAAATTACTCCCCCATTGATTTGTGAGTCACATGTAGAACATATTCCTTTCTTACGCTTACCAAGATCTTCATGACATCACAGTTAGCTACATACCTTTACAACACTGATTTACTTATCCTTATTTTAGAAAATATTTTAGTATATCGTAGAGTAAGTTTCCTTTCATCACTATCTTTACCAAAATAGAAAACAAAATGCCTGCAAACACACAAAAAGACAAAGCCAAACTCTAGTTACTGTTTCTGACATTTTTACATCTTCAATTAAGGCTCTTTTGTCCTTGGGTTGTCTCAGTCTACCAGTTAAAACATGAGCAAGAGTCTATCTGTGGCCTTTGAAATTCCTATAATTTATTTGCTATAAAAATTTTTCCTTACCTAGTAAAATTCATAACCATAGTTTAAACATAAATTAGGACTTTGTCAGACATAATACTTAAGCTGGAATGTCTCCCCAAGTAACAGATTTGTGTTTTCCAAAGGCCTACACAGAACTCTCACTTTTTTCTTAATAAATACCAATTTCTTATATGTTTTCATTTTACATAGGAATTTATTTAAATGTCAAGTATAATATAATTTTTTCTATGGACAAACAGAATTTTTTTATTTTTAAATCAATACTTATAAATAGGTACCAAAAAATTAAAAACCACGGTTCTCAGGACCACTCAGCCTGGTAGTACAGGAAAGTTGGCTCAATTTCCAGAACACCAAAACACAATGAAAATGTGACTAACAATACTCATGGTCAAAATCTGGACATAAATGAGTCATAAATCTCTCATATTCTCTAAGAACTCTAGATAAACTCTTTTTCAATGTGTATGAAACAGATTGATTCAGATTTGCTTGCTTTGTATTAACTTCATTGTGGTTCTGATTCAATCCATGAAAATCTTGCCTGATGCCATACTGAAAAAAATCCTTTTATAAACTTATGGCACCAATTGTGAAATGCATTTTTGTGAAAAGCTTTTATGTCAATGATGGCCAATGGCAACTCATGACCATATTAACACAATGCATATGCTCTGTTTGGCCCATATAGTGTTTATAAAAGATCTTGAATAATATGCCAATATTGTTAATTTGAGCAATTTCATATAAAATCTGGATTTCTAGCTTTCTTTAAAACACTATTGGGACATCTTTCCCACCTGGCAATAATCAGCTAGAATCAAACCACTGCAGCTTCCGTCAGATAAATTAGCAGTGATCACTTCTCTCTGAGATAGGACTCTCATTCATTTACACCATCAGCCTAACTACAAAATGCATTCAATTAGGTAACCTCTGCTTTAAATGATGTTTCCTTATCATGTGTGATGAAAATTAATGGGATATTTAATTCAAAATGACAGATTTTAGAAGACCAAATAAGAGCTCGAGATCAGGCGACCACAGGAGCTAATTTTGCAGTACAGGAGATAAACCTCAAACACCTACAAGGAGTTGGAGATCTTCGAGGAAGAGTAGCCAGGTGAGAAGAAGCCTGTTGACTAATGTTTAACAGTCAATTCTTGGCCAGTGAATTCTCATTCCCAAACAAGTTCCATGTCATAGAAAAAAGATATTGTCTACACATTAAGCTAAACTAATGAGATGGCAATTGGGAAAGTGTACCACAGAACTTCGAATGCCTCATGCTACCTGTGAGATTCAAAGTTTCTATAAAGACCCCTTACACAGCTTGGTTCCAATGCAAGTGACCAGAGTTCTGTCTTTACAGCCTCAACTGTGCAAGTACCAACATCCATACACAGACACACCTTCACAACCATGTACAAAATCCCCATATGTGTCAAATGCTAATGAGTAAAACATTGAAAATATACGAGAATTATATTAAAGAGTCTAACAAAAGGGATTTACTGCCTAATGGATAAAGTTCTGAATAGCTCTTTTGTATAAGATTTCTAAATCAAAAGAATTAATGGCATGCAGTTCAGCAAGTATGTGTAGGTATTGAGAATGGCAGGACCACTCTGGTGGACACATCAAAGACGACCTGTGAATGGCTGACTGTGGACACCTTTCCCTCTCTACATCTTCTGCCAGTACCTCATTCCTCTCTCCTATAACACTCACATCTCCATCTGGTTGATCCACTTGGACGTGTTCATGACCAAATAGGAATTAGATAATTACTACCTAAGACAAAGCTCTCCTAGGGTATTTACCCATTTTATTTGACAAAAATGTATTAAGCACTGATCTTATGCCAGGTAGTGGTCTCCTTCCTATAGTTGTTCACAGTCTACCAGGGAAAACAAGCCGTGTCGATAGCCAATGAAGTGAATGCTGTACTAAAAGTCTGGGATGCTATGGAAATGTCCAAATCAGGCCCATGTGGAGGACAAGCTTCCAGGGGAGGTGACACTTGAGCTGAGTTTTGAAGGATTTATAACAGTTAACTAGACAAGAAAGGGTGAGAAAGATACTTTACCTGGAAGAACAGCATGTGCAGAAGAACTGAGGGAAAGATCACTGTGACATAGTCATGGGCTACCTGTGAGAATGGCATTTTAGTTATGATATTTTGCAGTAGGAATTTTGAGAAAGTTGGGAGATGGAGCCAGAGAAGCAGTCCAGACCTAAAATATGAGGGGTCTTGTAGGTTAAGGTAGAGTTTGAACTTTATGTAGAAGGTTATAAAGGACCATGGGGAGATTTTAAGTAAGGGAATAGTATATCATATTTTGTGACATTCTAGTTTTAGCTGAATTGCTAGGATACAAAAGAGGGTGTGGAGATCAGAGGAAGGCTATTGCATCAATCGAGGTGGGAAGTAGCAGGGCCTAAACCAAGGCACTAGTCATAAAAGCCCAAAGGAGGGGACAGACGACACAAGACACTAGGGAAATAGAATATACAGGATCAATGCATGAATAAACACGGAAGATGAATTAAGCAGGTGGAGGTCAAGGATATTCCACAGAGAAGGAAATTTGAAACAAAGCGCAGTTATAACAAGGAGGTGGAAAGAGACACAGGGAGTAATAATGTGTTTGGCTTCCATCATGTTGTATATGAGAAGTCATCAGACTATTAACTAGAATGGGCATGGAGTTCAAAGGGGAAGAAGGAAGGAGGTGTCAAGGATGCCCAGGTTTCTGGTTGGCCCACAACAGAAATGGCTTTGGGAAAGACTTTGTAGTTCTGGAGTGTGGCTTCATTCCTGTTAAAAATAAAAGATGCCATCTAGGAAATAATACGTATGGTTTAAAAACTCTCATCAGAGAAAAAAATAGCCATTGGCCAGTCCAGAGAATAAACATGTTAATTTATATTGTATATAAATATATAAATAGAAAAATATATATATAAATATATATTTCATTATTTAATATTTGATCAATACCAAAGAAGTTTTATAATATTTGGGTAAGTTATGAAACAAGATAAAACAAATACCAGCAAACCCACAACCCTATTTAGGTGTGCCAAGATTTTGCAAGAAGATAAAACCAAACATGGCTTCTTTGTTTGTTTCTTTTTTGAGACAGAGTCTCGCTCTGTCACCCTGGCTGGAGTGCAGTGGTGCAATCTTGGCTCACTGCAACCTCTGCCTCCCAGGTTCAGACAATTATCATGCCTCAGCCTCCTGAGTAGCCGGATTTACTGGTGCATGCCACCATGCTTGGCTTATTTCAAACATGTTTTAAATGAAATATAATTTGGTTCAATTTGGTGGTATGCTGATGACACTCCTACCAATTATTTCTTTCTGCAAACCACTTACAAACATATTTTATTTTTATAAATCCTGTTTTATTTGTAAGACAAAATAGCAAATGGATATGAAAGAAACTAAGAGATCAATGAAATTACATCAAGAAGATGTGCAATTCTTTTTGCTCTTGTTGCTTTTTGTTTACCTTCCCCTTCAGTCATAAGCAGTGATTTCAGGACAAGGTCTTAGTTTTCCTTGAAATGTCTCCCTTTTATGGAAAATTTCTGAAATCTATTTGGCAATCTGAGACAGAATTTGGCTAACAGCCATGAGACTTAAATTCACCCTCCCTCTCCTGTTTCTTTTCTGTGCTTTTGCCAGGCAAATGACTAATGGACAAGCTAAGGCAGATTGATTACTGTCTCTCCACATAGAGGGACCTCAATTCCAATGAGCATTTTGGCATAAGTAAAATTAAGTTGATTGTTTTAACATAATTGTTAGCAAATATTTTACTGCTTCATAAATCAAGCTTAATATTGAATAACTACAATGAGATTTGAATTTTACACCTTATTTTCTACGGCAATACATTGCAGTTTAAAAGTTAAGTGCTCCCAATAAGATGAGTTTCTCAAAGCTGCCAGCCTGCTTTTGACATCCCGTCCTTTATTTGATAGACTAGTATCAAGTGCAACAAAGGAAAAGGTGAGCATGCCAAGGGCACCCATTGGGATGGATGGGACTTACAATTCGTAGCATCAGTCAGAGGCCCACTCTCTAGGCCTCATGCGGCTCTTTAGGACTCCAGAACAAACCTACATGTGGGAGGGAAAAAAGATAAATTTTGTTAGCTTGTGATTAAAAGCAAAATCATGTTCTCTAAAGAAACATAGGTTAGGCACAATGGCTCACACCTGTAATCACAGCACTCTGGGAGACCAAGGTGGGGGGATCACAAGGTCAGGAGTTCGAGAGCAGCTTGGCCAACACGGTGAAACCCTGTCTCTACTAAAAAAAATACCAAAAAATTAGCTGGGCATGGTGACACATACCTGTAATCCCAGCTACTCAGGAGACTGAGCAGGAGAATTGCTTGAATATCAACTTTTGAAAATTTAAGAGAAGACATGCCTGCTTATATAGAGCAGAATAAAGACATTTTATTCCACTCTCTTACTTGAGACAATTCAATGTCAGTGAAAAATAAATGAAGGAAAACAAAAACTCCAACTTATTAATATATTATGGAAGCTGCTGCAGCCACTAAGCACAAACAGCACACTTACCAAATATTGTGACATTTGGACTGATACAGTCCTTCTCAGATTTTAAACATAATAATTTCCCACTAGTCAACAGTCATAATTTTGAGACACTGGCAAAATGGAATAGAGCAGCATTACCTAGAGGCTCGGGTGGGTCATTAGAGAGAGAGGACATGATGTCCCCTTAAAGATTCAGGTCAGCAACACCGAACAGCTGGGAGGTATAGCCAAAGATGCAACCATGTTTTTTATCATTTCTGTCATCTAGAACCTCCCTCCTTGCCTACTTACACCTGAGAGAAACTGGCTGAGGAGGGAGAGCGATTTGATACTGCAAGCCTGAATAGAGGATGAGATCTACCTGCCACCAAACACACTCACTGATCCTCTCCAGGTGGCCAGAAACATTCAAATATGTAATAGTGATTATTAGAATGCAGTCATGATTATGAATCACTTCCACTTTCATCCCCAGATAAACAGAAGACAGATAGATGACAGATCGACAGACAGATACTAGATAGATAAAAACATAGGCAAAAGACCAGCGAATACATTTCATGAAGGAATTACCAGAAAAGTATGGGAAGAGTTCAAACCAAAAGTTCTCCTGGTTTCAAAGAAATTAAGAATAAAAGAATTTTAATTTTTTTCAAAAAGGTTACTTGTAAACAGTCACATGTAATTTGGCCCTTCCAAAAGCTTCACTGAATCTACAGTAAAAATATTTTATCTTTAAAATATAAACCCATAAGGACAGGGGATATCAGCATAGAAGTCTTGGAACCTAGAAAGCAGATGGAAACATGAAAGCTGCCTTAGCAGAATTAAGGCCAATTTTAAAGTTGTAGGATAAGCTGAGAACAACCTGACTCTATGCAACAGAATTCTCAAAAGGCGTCAGGCCCTTGCCTCTAGGGAGGGGAACAAAGAGAGGCAGTGAGAGGAAGGGTCAGAAACCACCGTAGTTTATTATTAGCTTTTTAGTTATTACTAACTTTCAAATTACAGGCATGTTTTACCTTGATAAAATAAATAATAATTTTTAAAATAAGGTATAAAAAGCTTTCCCTCAAAAGAGACTATCAAATAACGAAAGGAGATAGATAAACTGGAATTGCTCATGGATAAAGTAAAAGAAAAAGTTAAGCTATTATGAAGATTAATATACTTTAGAAACTCCTAAAATAGAACAAATACAAACAAAAATAACAAGCTATAAAAAGTAAAAACATGAGTAAACCACACGAAATGAAAATAGATATTTTCCATATAAAAATGATTATAGAAAAATTGTTATATGATAGACAAGGAAAACTCATCCAACATAGAAATAATACAAGGCCCTAAAGAAGAAACAGAAATTCTTTCAAAAAAATTCATGAATATAAGAGAAGAAAGCTTTCTTGAAATAGAGATTTGAGTCTATAGATTGAAAGCAAAAACTGTGAGTGACCATGGAAAAAATTATATAAGAACAAGGAAACCAAGATATCCTGGTTGAAGTTGCTGAACAGCAAAGATAAAGACTCACACAGCATCCAGGTAGACAAAGCAAGTCTCATTTAAAGAAAGGAAAGAAATGTTATCACCTCAGACTTGTCCACCTCAGCCAATGCCAGAAAAGAATGGATTGACTGTTCCAAAAGAAAGAAAAACAATGTTATCTTAACTAAGTTACCTTTCAATTACAAGAGAAATTGGGCATTCTCAAGAACTTGAGAACTCTAGCACTCCTGAGCCCTGCTTTTAAAATCTGGATGACAAAATATGGCCAACCATGGAATTAACCAAAATAAGGATTTTAGAAAAGAAATCACGGTTTGAAAGGATTATCAATGAACATATAATGTACATATAGAGTGAACATTAAATAACCATAGGCATTCTAGTGAGAGAACACCATGCAAATGTCGTAAAATTTAGCATTTTAAAATTAGCAAATTACATTTTAAAATGTTGAAGGCACAAGTATATAAACATTTCTTTTCTCATTTTTTGGCATATGGTCGACAGACAATATCTAAAGTTAGTAATATCTAAAGTTGGTATTGAGATGGTAGTTGTGAAAAGTATTAACAATTCCAATCTATAATAGCTTTTTATAGCTTTCTTTTTTTAGAGAAAAATCTCTCTCATAGTGAAGAAATACATATCTGAAATTCAACAATTTCCTCATTTCTCACTAAGAAATTAACCTAAGAAGTTACCTTTTCCTAAAGTAAAATTAAATGTAACATTTTAAAGTTGATGAATATAATATAATCCCAGTATTCTAAATTATGTTTCTTTCTTCCTATCTCTGTATATACATATATATATACACACACATATTTTAAGTATATAATTATGAACAGAATGATAATCAAATATTAACAATGTTATTTTTAAGAGGGATTTGGAAAGACGTTAACTTTCCTCTTTGTTCTTTTAGGCATGAAATTTTTTGTAATGATCATGTACTATTTTAACAGAAACAATAAAATCATTCTAAAGAAGGAGTAGACAGAGGAACTCCTTTTGGAATATAAAGTGCAGCTTAGAAAAGCCGTGAATCAATCCTTGACTTCAACATGTGGGATTAAGCTGGTGGGTGGTTGGGGAGGTGAGAATGAACAGGCGGCAACTCTTGAGATGAGTAAATAAATCGTAGCTGCTAATCTTGTGTGGGTGCTCCCCCCTGTGTCAGGCACCGGCTAAATGCTTTGCATGCATCACCTCCTTCCATTCCTAAATAACCTCCCAATGTAACACTATTCTAGACAGCCACTTAACAGTTTTGAAGGATGAGCCCCCCAGAAGACACTATTCACATTGTCAACCATGTGTTTCTGGCACCCCTGGAGTTGTGTGGTAGACAAATTGTGCAACCATGGCATCATTACCCCTTTTTTTCAGATGAGGAAAACTGAAACTTGTAGGCCGTAAGAAGCTCGTCCCAGATCATAAACCTAGCAAGCAGCAGAAGCAGGATGCAAAGTGTCGTCTATCTGACACCAGAAACCACATTTTTAACCAGTAGCCTCCACTGCACAGGCCCTGCTGTCCCTGAAGATGGGAAACAAGAGAAGGATGGAAGGGAGATGGCACGAAGTGGTGGTCGCAGCAGCCACTCCTGAGTAGTCTTTGGGGGTTTTAAAGAATGTCCTCACATCAGGACATTCTAATTAACCAACAATAGAGGTGCCATTCTGACAATGACAGTTTGTATAGGCAAAGGTGTAAAACAGCTTCTGACCAGTAATTTTGTGCATACCATCCTGCTCCCCCATTCTTGATCAGATTAATTCCTAATTTTTTTTCCCAGCAGCTTCTTTACCCCCACACAGTCAACTTTAATGGTGTTGCTAAAGGAATACCTTTAGTATCCTTTTAAAGAAATGCTTAGGCAAAATTGTCATCTTGACTTACCTTTGCCTCAAATCTTTAGCACCAAAAACTTTAAGGAAAAAAGATTCATTCTGGGACCCTAAAAATGTTGATGTCATGAAGCACACAATATTTATAGCACTTCGTATGATAATATGAAAAAGTAGTCCTAATATTATTTGATGACAGTCAAAACAGTTGACAAATATCAAAATGATCCCAGATAACTCAGATATACAAAAGATAGTCTTTCAGTGCTCTTCAACCTCTCCTTCATGCCTATGTGAAAATATACAGAAGCTGACCACTAATACACTGTGCAATCTGCTGTCTCACAAGAGAGGTCATGGGTGATGGTAGTGGGATGTGGTTGTGTGTTTGCTTCATACTGGGAAGACAGTTAATCTTCAGCGCACCTCACTAGCTCCTTCTGACTAGACTTCCTTCGCTTAATTATCACATGCAACTTTATGGACCAAAGCTTCATTCATATGTTAGTGTGAATTGGTTTTGTCCTAATATGACAATGCCTGACTGAGACCATTCAAGGAACAGGAGTTTTGTTTGAGGTTAAGAGGGTGAAAAATTGGACAAGATGGATTGGAAGATTTTGGTTTGCCAGGACACCTTTTCTAGCCAAAGAAGAATTGATAGTCTGGGGGCCAAGAAAAGAGGATAAAGAGAGGAAAGTGGGTTTAGAATGTGATATAAAAGAGGAACACATTTTAATTTTGCCTAACCATAGGCAGCAGCCTATATTTCCAAAACATTAAAGTTTGTTATAACTCCTAAGACTAAGTTAATATCAAGCTGAAAATGTTAAAATTTCCCTCAATTTACCACAATAGCCCTCTGTAAACTATTTCCATTTCTATTCTGGTTTGGGCCAATGCATTCAACCTGGTTTCTCTCTCATCAGAAAGAGAGGAGAAAAATAAAGGAGATTCCTGAAAAAACTCATATCTACCAACTCATTCTTCAAATGACTTTAGAACTTCAGCCATCAAATGAGTGTGCGGTGTCTACTATAGTACTAAAAATGTTATAAAGATATTGAACTCACCCCAATTTCCATCTTGCCATTAGATGTGATTCAAGCATTGTCAAGCTTTCTGGAGACATTCACTTCATCAGGCAAGAGAACCGGCAAATTGAGAAAGTCATTCAAGAATTCATGCCCGCCCTGGAAACTCTTTCCAAGAACTTGGACATGAAGGTAACTGAAAATAGATGGGACTTATATTTTGTGTTACTGCAAGAAGTAAGTTCATTATACCTTATCAAAATGCCCAATCAGGTGCTAATTTTTTAAGAGAACTCTTCTTCCAAAGGGTTTAATTCTGACAGCTCACTCATATACACTGTGGGAACAGTCAATTCCATCAACGAATGTTTAATGTATGTCTGTTGTGTTCCAACACAGCCATCTACTCTAAGCATTCATTGCTTGAGTCCACCATTCCTGTTATTTTTTTTTTCTCTCTGGAAGTAGTAAAATTATTTTTACTCAAAGACTATGGAACCAAAGAATATAAACAAAAGAATGTCCCATGGAAGCTATTATTATTAAAAGTCCAACATAAATGTGAATTGTTTATGTTACATCCCTGCTTAAAACCCTGCAATAGGTTATATCGCTTATAAAATAACATGTAAGTCCTTTGATTGGTCTGGATTTTAAAAGCCATCTCTACACTGGCCCCTGCTTCTTGACTCACTCTTTATGCCCAGTGATACTGAGCTCCTCCCTGTAGGTAGGTCCCTACTCACACCAAGATATTACACATCTTCCCCTAGTTCATGCTAGTTTTCTTCCTGAAGCGTCTCTTTTTCATCTTCCCAGTCAATGGTTTCACTAAAGTAGAGCCCAATGCAAAGATTTCTGTGCTCCACTTTGTCACAAATCTTATGCAAAACAAGCACTTCTCTTCTCCTCTGAAGTCAGGAGGACTTATTCAGAATTCTCCTTCATTTTTCTCTGTCCTTTCTAATGAGAGAGAAACCAGGTTGAATATCTTGGCCCAAACCAGAGCAACAACTTGAAATAGTGTAGATGGGGATATTGTGGTAAATTGAGGGAAATTTTACATTTTCAGCTTGATATTAACTTAGTTATAGGAGTTATACCAAATTTGGGAAGAGCAAAGTAGAAATCCTCTGGACATTGGGAATATGAAAGTTTGTTGTTTGATCATTCGTTGGTGAGAGCCCGTTAGTCCAGAGGAGGTATTACTGAGCACAGAGTTTACTCCAGTCCCATCTCGTTCTCCTTATCTACCTCCTTCTCACCCATCTTATTAGGCCCAATAATTTTAAGTTCTCTTTGTTTTTCAATACACCCAATCATATCAACAACATATTATGGCAATTTTATCTCTGGTTTTCTGATTTAATTCTTAATCGCTTTTCTTAAAGTCTTGACCAGAAATTCCAGAACAATGCTAAATAAAAGTGGTCATAGAAGGCAGCCTCTCTGCTTCCTGATTATCCTGGAAATGTCTTTGCTGTTGGTAGCCGGCTATTGGTTTGAAATATTTTTTATTCGTATTAAGGAAGTATCCACTGATTCCGAATTTAGTTTTTTATAAGGATCAAATGTCTACTTTAGTCAAATGCCTTTTAGATATCAACAAATATCTAGAACCACCATATTGGTTGTTTTTTGGTTGGGGGATCGGTGTGTTGTTTGCTGATTTCTTTGATCTTCTAATGTGTTAATACATTTCCCAATACTGAAACATTCTTGCATTTCTGTAATGAAAGCTATACAGTTATTGCATAATAATTCAATATTTAATTTGGCATCAGGATTCAAAAGTGACATTTGACTATAATTCCTTACTCTTTCTGTTAATATATTTTTAAATATAACACATACATATAGCTCAAAAATCAAAACTACATAAGAAAATATAGACAGAATTTTTATTCCCACCCCTTAACCATTCATCACATTTTTTTTCACGATCCTCACAGGTAACCATTTTTATTAGTCTATTGTGGATGCATTCAGTATGCCCTTTGCAGATATGAGCAAATGCAAATACATATTTTTATTCCCCCTTTATTGCACAAAAGATAGTATGTATACATATATATATACACACACATATATATGGCTATGCCTTAAAAAAAACACTAAACAAATATATCCTGAAGATCTTTCCATGTTGTTACATGGAGACGTTCCTTATCCTTTTTTACAACTGTATACTCTTTCTTTGGATGTAATAATTCATTTAACCACTCTTGCATAGATGGATATTTGGGTTCTTTTAAACATTTTGCTCTTTCAAAAGATGCTACAATAAATAACCTTGCACATAGGTCATTTTGTATGTGTATAGATATATCTGTAGAATAAATATCCAGAAGTTGGATTCCTGGATCAAAAGATACATGTGTGTTGTTTTGAAAGATCTTGCCAAATTGCTTTCTAAACAGCTTTTACCTCATTGCACACCCACTAGCAATATGTAAAATGTCCTGTGTCTCCATTGCCTTGCCAATGCAGTGTTGTTCAACTACTGAATTTTGCCATTCTTATAGGAAAAAGGCAGTATCTCTTTGTTTTAATTGGCCATTTTTATTATGGAAGAAGTTGAGCATCTTTTCACATATTTAAGGGCCATTTGTATTTCTTTTTTGGTGAGCTATCTGTTCAGGTCTTTTGCCAACTTCTCTATTGGGCTTTTTTTCCTCTTTATCTCTAGGAGTTCTTTATATGTCAGGAAAATGAGCTGTTTTCTCTATGACATGAATTGAAAATACATTTCCCAGTTTGTCATAGGTCTTTGATTTTGACATGCACAAATAGTTCTCTAGTTGTAGCTGAATTTATCAGTTCTTTTGTGGCTTCTGGAATTTCAAATCAGTTAGAAAGAGCATCCCTACGCAAAGGCTTGAAAGAATCATGGCTTTATTGTTTATACATAAATCTTTGATCCATTTGTAGTTTTCCTAATATGTGTCTTAATTACTGTCTTAATTATTGAATCTTTATAGTGTTTTTATATCTGCTAGGGCTAGTTCTTTCCATTACTTTCTTTTCTCAGTTTTCCTGGTAAAACTAGTTGATTTTACCTATAAAATCAAACTATCTCGTTTCAGTAAATAAAGCAAATAAACTCTATTTTAATCTTTATTGAAATCATGTTAAATTTGTAAATAAATTTTAGAATTGATACAGTCATAATGCTGAGTGTTTTATCCAAGAATGTAGTGTGCTTCCCATTTGTTTGAGTTTGCTTTCATGTTCTTCAGGAGTATTTTCAAATACTGTAGACTGGGCATAATTTCTTATTAAATGTATTTTAAGATTTTATAATCTTTTTCTTTTTAGTTTATTGTAACGGGGCTTCAATATGCCTTCTAATTCATTGTTTGTTGTACATGATGAAGGTGATATTAATTTCATATTCTACAGTGAATTCTCTTGATTACAGTAATTTTTTAGTTTCCCTTCCCCTCTAGGAACACAATCATATGCTCTGTAAATGGTAATAGTTTTAGCTCATCTTTATTCATTTTCATATACATAATTTGTCTTTCTAATTGCTTTGACTAATAACCCCAAACAATGTTAGACAGTAGTGTGGGAATAGTGGACATCCTGGTCTTGTTCCTAATTTTAACAGAACTGTCTTCTGTTCCCCTTATGATGGGGGAAGTAAGTTTCCCTGTTAAGCATGTTTAATACCCAACTATTCCTATATTTTAAATATTTTTAGAAATAAAAAACAATTACTGAATTTTATTAAATACCTTTTTAGCATTTATGGAATGATGTGTTCTCTCCTGTTATACTAGTATTATTATTTCCTGTTATTAAACTATCCTTGTGTTTTCTAAAATAAATTACACTGATTATGATGTATTTTGTTGTTCTGCTGGATAATGCTGCTGACATTTTACTCAAGAATTTTGCATTAGTGCTTATGAGTGAAATTAATCTATTTTATGTGCTATTGTTTTCAGATTTTGGAGTCCCTGTTATGCAGACCTCAAAAATAATTGGAAAGATTTCCTTCTTTTTCTATGTTCTGAAATAGTTTAGAGTATTATAAGTATACTTTAAAGATTTGGTAGCTTTGCTTCTGATGTATTATCTGAGCTTGATGATTTGATGAGGAAGAAAGTTGTTTGATAGCTTTCATTTCTTACATTTTTTTTTCTTGAGACAAAGCGTCTTTCTGTTGATTAGCCTGCTTAAACTTTCTATCTTTTCAGGGTTAACTTTAGTAAATTGCTTTTTCTTGGGAAAAATATTTCTTTCTTTCAGATTTTGAATTTGCATAAAGTTATGCAAAATGCTTTTAGGATTGTTTTAATTCTCTGTGCTTTTATTTATTCTATTATTTTGTATATTTGTGCTTTTCTTTTTTTCCCCTTGATTAGTCTAGGTTTGCCTTAATTAGTTGTTCTACAATGAACCAATCCTTTTATGTATTTTTTTAGTTCTGCTTCTGTTATCTTTCTTAGCTCATCAATTTCACCATTTATCTATATTGCCTACAGTGTGTTCTGTTGCACATTTTAAAACGTTTTAAAACAACATGTATTTGTACTTTTTGCTGACATAAGCATTTATGGCTATGAATTTTTTCTGAGCATCCCTTTATTCTTTTTCCTAATATCCCCCAGAGTTTGACATGTAGTTTTCTCATTATTTCCTAGAAATTCTGCAATTGTGTGTGGTATTTTCCCTTAAATAGTTAAGAGGAGTTTATTAGTCTGTTCTTACACTGCTAATAAAGACATACCAAGACTGGGTAATTTATTTAAAAAAAGAAATGTAATGGACTTACAGTTCCACATGGCTGGTAAGGCCTCACAGTCATGGTGGAAGGTGAAGCAGGAGCAAAGGCATGTTTTACATGATGGCAGGCAAGAGAAGTGCCTAGCAAAAGAGGGAAAAGTCCCATATAAAACCATCAGATCTCATGAGAACTCACTATCATGAGAACAGCAGCATGGTAGAGGGGGGAGGTAACTGCCCCTTTGATTCAATTACCTCCCACAGGGTCCCTCTCACAACACATGGGGATTATGGGATACAAATCAAGATGAGATTTGGATAGGGAGACAGTCAAACAGTATCAGGGAAGTTTCCTTCCCACCCTCTGAGTTGAGGACTTTTTGTTTTCTTATGCTGGTATTCATTTTTAGTTTCATCTCATTGTAAGTAAACATTTTCATGTATACAAGTTTTAGTGTTTGGAATATTTTGAGGGTTGTTTTTGGTGGCTGGATAGTCCATTTTTGTACATGTTCTAAAATAATGTATATTCTGTATTTTTAGGGTACAGACTTTAATTAGTACCTATAGGGAATAACTTAATGGTTAAATCTTCTGATTCTTACTTATTTTTTAGTCTACTGCTATCTTGGATTGAGAGGTAAATTTAAGTCTCCTCTGGTTATCAGACATCCATTTCAGCTATAATTTCAGTTTTGAGAATGTTTTTGCTGTTATTTGGCTTACAGATATTCACAACTACTCTTTTTTCATTCATAATTTTAATACTTAAGTTTTCTCTTTTCATGTGTAGAGTAGAACAAACTTTGTCTATTATCCTTTCAAAAAACAGCCCTTGGATTTATACATCAATTCCATAGCTTTTTGTTTTTATTCATTTGGTTTTAAAATATTTGTATGTTAGTTTTTTCATTGCTGCCTTAACAAATTACCATAAACATAATGGTTTAAAACAACACAAATGCATTATCTCATGCTGCCTGTAGGTCAAAATTCAGGGGGCTTAGACTGGACCTCTACTCAGGGTCTCACAAGACAGAAATTGAGGTGTCTGCAGAGTTGTGTTTCTTTGGGGAGGCTTTGGAGATGATTCCTCTTCCAGGTTCATTCTAACTTTTGAATCCAGTTCCCTGCAGCTATAGGACTGAGGTCCTTGCAGGCTGTCAGCAAGGAGCTGTCTGTCAGCTCCTTGCTCCAGAGGCTGCCTACCTTCCTTCTTGTATTTTCCATGCCTATTATTGTATTTCAAATATTTCCATCTTTAGCCTGTTTTAAGTGTATGTTTCTCCTGTAAATAGCCACTCAAGTGCTATTGGTTGCCCATCCAACACTTACCTGTTAAAATCCTTCCATTACTCCCATTTCTTTCATAAGAACTCAGATTTTATTAAATGCCCACTCTTCTCCATACAACCATCTATATTAGGAGCTGCATTCTGTTTGACCAAAGCCAATCATGTAGTTTCATTCTCCTTAGCAGTGACTGGTTGAGACATGATTATGCGCTGCAATTCTGCATCTATTTTTTAATCCAGTTCTTTTACATAGAAGAATTTTCTCAGTGTTTCTGGCAATTTGGAAGTTACTCTAATCTTAAATTCTAAAACTGGAATTTGCTTTTTTCCTATCCTTAAATGCCCTAAGTGATTTCACTTGGGATTCACCTGTGCTCATGTCAGAATGCTATCTGGAAATCTTGGGCCAGTCATGTGTGTTTTCCTCAGAGCCTGACTGTGCATTTAAAGGTTTATTCAGCATTTGTTGAGCATTTACCATTGATCACCTAATGTGCACTGAGGATATGGTGGTAATAGCATACAGTATCTTGTATTGTAACTGGGGAAACAATAGAGAAGTAGAGATATAATCAGATTAACAGAATAATAAACAAACTAATGGAAATAGCATGTTTTTGTTATGTCATTAGATGGCCTATGATAAAAAAAAAATATTCTAGATAACAGAATGGAACAACCCCTATTATCCTTTCCTTGAGGACATTGTAACTATAATACTCATTTGAACACAGGTCATTTTCAAGTGTAATTATGCTTTAGGTTCAAGTCTGTTTCCTGGCTCCTTAAGGAATGAAGTATATTAATGTGAATGCTGGTGATTTTGTTCATATACCCACACAAAAAAAACTCTCTTGTACTTTCACTAGGTGATGCAGCTCTTAGGAAAGATAGAGACTGCCAGTTCTGAGCAAACTTCAAATTTAAAGATGGTCCAGGGGGATTATCACCATGAAATGAACCTTTTGGAATTCAAGTAAGTGAATAGAAGATTTTAATTCTGTTAAGTGCATTCCAAAGAGTTTTGCCTAATGAAAGCATTGGCATGAAATAAAAACCTATTCCAGGAATTTGAACCTGGCCAAGAAATAAAGCAGTGAACTAATGCAGAGAATATTCTACACTAAATTAACTTATATAATATTTATAATAAAAGAAGAATTATGAAGATTAATCTTGTCACTTTGTTTGCACAATATCTCAACTGAATTGAAACATTTTTACCATTCAGGTGATTTTTACTTATTATAAATTGCATATTAAAATGTCTCAATGTAAAACACTATAGAAAATAATTTCATTCTCCAAGATTATCATATATTTTTAAAAACAATTTTGATATGCAAGCTTTTCCTTTAAGATTCTTTCCATATTATGCAGCCATAAAACAGGATGAGTTCATGTCCTTTGCAGGGACATGGATGAAGCTGGAAACCATGTTCTCAGCAAACTGACACAAAAACAGAAAACCAAACATCACATGTTCTCATTCATAAGTGGGTGTTGAACAATGAGAGCACATGGACACAGGGAGGGGAACATCACACACTGGGGCCTGTTGGGGGGTGGAGGGACTAGCGGAGGACTAGCATTAGGAGAAATACGTAATGTAGATGATGGGGGGATGGATGCAGCAAACCACCATGGCACGCATATACCTTTGTAACAAACCTGCACGATCTGCACATGTACCCCAGAACTTAAAGTATAATAATAATAAAAAAAGAGTCTTTCTAAGATCCTCTATTTACTCCTTTACATTATTTCTTTTTAAGACTGGTCTCTACCCCATCTTCAGCTGAATATTTTTTCCCCCACTCAATGGAGGAAGCAGTAAAGAAGACAGAGCTCCACAAATGTTCAAATTACTAGCTTCCTTATTATCAAATCTCCCTTTTTTCTTTCAATGATCATCATTTCCCAGAGTCATGGTGCAGGCAGAGGGAAATTCTAGTTACTTGGATACTATTGTGCTGTCTCTTATGCTCTTATCCTTTTTCCTCTATGTCTCACACCATTTGGGTTTAATGCCCTGGTCAAATTTGGTATCCTGACAATACTCTACTTTCTCCATTTTTCCTCCATCGCTACTATATTTTATTAAATCTAAGTGCCATTGAATATAACATGCACCATTATAATTTTGTACCTGTAAGATATGCAGCTAACAATTAAACCATAGCATATCATCATTTAAAGATATCTCTTGATTTTGGAGATACTAAAATGGGAAATACGTGTGTCTTAGAAGTCGATGTAAAACAATAGTCATCACTAAAACTTGGACAAGCGGTTGTCCTGAGTAAACAGAAAATACTCTAAGAAAGCATTTATATGTTCTTAAATTCTAGCACAATGAGGGTGTTCAGTGAATAGCTGTGTGATACTAGATCTAGTGTCTTTAGCTTGTAATTAAGATGACACTCTCCAAAGAAAAAGTAGAAAAGTAGTATGTTTCTAGACATAAAGACTAAGAATTGATCGTGTAGGGAAGGGATGGCATTGACACTGAAATGGAAGGCTGACTTAAAGGGATGAGGTTTATTAACAAGTGGAAAAGAGAGAAAAAGACGATGCTTGAGATCAAGGGCTAACTGCTTCAGGACTAATGATGCTTATATTTTCTGTCTTTGGTATTGTGGGAATTTGGCTTATAGAAAGTCATCTAAGTAGTTAAATCTGAATCTGGACACTTTTATAATAGTGTAAACTTGAATTTTTTTCTCACTTTAAGTAACGAAGTCTTAACATTTCAGTAGTATTACAGTAGGTGATAGTAAATCTAAAAACCATACTTTTCCTCAGGCAAATATTTATGAGACCTAATAATTCACTTAGTGATACAATTGACTCTTTTATATTTAAATTTTCTCCAATATTAAAAATTAACAATATGCATTAATTGTAACAAAAAAACAAAAATGAAAAAAGAGATTATCTCAGCTTTCTATTGTAATCAACGTTAACACCAGGGATGTATCCTTCCTCAATTTCCTCCTTGCTAATATAAACATATAACAGAGAAAGGATATGTATATATTATATGTATAGAAGCAGCATGGGTTTAAAAAATAATTTCTATACATATTACTCAATTATTTGATTTTTCTAATACATCCTGTGTGTCTCTCCAAATCAGTGAATATTATTCTAACTTTATTTTTCATAGCTATACGATCTTTTAACTTCTATATGTGCCATAATTAATACAACCATTTATCTTATTGCTGAATTGATTATTTCTAGTTTATGACCACCAAAAAAAAAACTAAAAAAGTATTATGTGTATATCCTTAGATATCCTTAAATACTGGCACTTTTTTTCTATAGGCAAGCTTCCTAGGTTAAAGAACATATAGGCCAGGCACGGTGGCTCACGCCTATTATCACAGCTCTTTGGGAGGCTGAGGCGGGTGGATCACAAGGTCAAGAGATCAAGACCATCCTGGTCAACAAGGTGAAACCCCGTCTCTACTAAAAATACAAAAATTAGCTGGGCATGGTGGTGCATGCCTGTAGTCTCAGCTACTCGGGAGGCTGAGGCAGGAGAATTGCTTGAACCCAGAAGGCGGAGGTTGCGGTGAGCCAAGATCATGCCATTGCACTCCAGTCTGGGTAACAACAGCAAAACTCCGTCTCAAAAAAAAAAGAAAATATATGTGTATGTATGTATGTATGTGTATATGTGTGTGTGTGTATATATATATATATACACATATATATGTCTCTGCATTTTAACCAACAATGAATGTGTTCTCTTTTTAATCCTGGCCAAAGGATGAAAAAGCATCTGTTTTAATTTGCATTCCTTTTTCCATTTGAATTTTCTGTGAATTGCCTATTATTGTTTATCAAATTTTGTATTGGGATTTTTGTCATTTTCTTATCAATTTGCAGGATTCTTTCATGTTAGAGATATTAATCATTTGAGTGAGATATGTATTGAAAATGTATTTTGCTCAAAGAGAGTAACACAGGGCTTTTTTATTTCAATCAGAGGACTTCTGTTTCAATCAAGAATACTGTATTTAGTTTTTAACAAGGTTAACTTTGAACAAAAATAAGAATAAGTAGTTCCACTACTTTAAAAAAAGTAAATTGCTGCTAATGTTGGGATTTTGAGGTACATATAAATCCAAAAATAAAGTAGATAGTGTATAGAATTTGCTTTTTTAAAGAAAGAACTGTCTCTGAATAAAGAGAATAACTTTTAAATAAAAACGTTGTAATAACATTAAAGGTTAAGTTTAGCCAGGCACGGTGGCACACACCTGTAGTCCCAGCTACTCAGGAGGTTGAGGCAAGGACGATCGCTTGAGCCCAGGAGTTCAGGTTACAATGCACTGTCATGGCACCACTGCACTCCAGCCTGGATGACAAAGCAAGACCCTGTTTCTAAAAAAGTCTTTTAACAAAGGTTAAAGTTAACCTTTGTTTGGCTTGAAGACCAGAAAACCAGATACTACAAGATTGAAGACAGAGGTAATTTAAGAAACACTCACAGCAGTGACTGGCCCAAGTTCTTTGAAAAGTATCTCAGACCAATGGAGAGAACAGAGGCCTCGGAAATAACACCACACACCTACAACCATCTGATCTTTGACAAACCTGATAAAAATAAACAATGGAGAAAGGATTTCCTATTTAATATATGGTGCTGGGAAAACTGGCTAGCCATATACAGAACATTGAAACTGGACCTCTTCCTTACACCTTATACAAAAATTAACTCAAGATAGATTAAAGACTTAAACATAAGACCTAAAACGATAAAAACCCCAGAAGAAAACCTAGGCAATACCATTCAGGACATAGGCATGGGCATAGACTTGATGAGTAAAACACCAAAAGCAATGGCAACAAAAGCCAAAATTGACAAATGGATCTAATTAAATAAAAGAGTTTCTGTATAGCAAAATAAACTATCATCAGAGTGAATAGGCAACCTACAGAACGGAAGAAAAATTTTACAATCTAGCCATCTGACAAAGGGCTAATATCCAGAATCTACAAAGAACTTAAATACATTTATAAGAAAAAAACAAAGAACCCCATCAAAAAGTGAGTGAAGGATGTGAACAGATACTTCTCAAAAGAAAACATTTATGTGGCCAAGAAACACCGGAAAAAAACTCATCATCACTGGTCATTAGATAAATGCAAATCAAAACCACCACAATGAGATACCATCTCATGCCAGTCAGAATGGTGATCATTAAAAAATCAGGAAACAACAGATGCTGGAGAAGAATGTGGAAAAATAGGAATGCTTTTACATTGTTAGTGGGAGTGTAAATTAGTTCAACAATTATGGAAGATTCCTCAAGGTGGTGTGGTGATTCATAAATGTGGTGATTCCTCAAGGATCTAGAACCAGAAATACCATTTGACTCAGCAGTCCCATTACTGGGTATATACCCAAAGGATTATAAATCATTCTACTATAAGGACACCTGCACATGCATATTTATTGTAGCACTGTTCACAATAGCAAAGACTTGGAACCAACCCAAATGCCCATCAGTGATAGACTGTTTAAAGAAAATGTGGCACATATACACCATGGAATACTATGCAGCCATAAAAAAGGATAAGTTTATATCCTTTGCAGGGACATGGAAGAAGCTGGAAACCATCATCTCAGCAAACTAACACTAGAACATAAAACCGAACACTGCATGTTCTCATATGTGGAAGTTGAACAATAAGAACACTTGTACACAGGGAGGGGAACATCACAAATCAGGGCCTGTTGGGGGCTGGGGGGCTGGGGGGAATAGCATTAGGAAAAATACCTAATGTAGATGACAGGTTGATGGCTGCAGTAAACCACCATGGCACGTGTATACCTGTGTAACAAACCTGCATGTTCTGTATATGTACCCCAGAACTTAAATTAAAAAAGAAGAAGAAGAAGAAGAAAAGTGCCTGAGAGAGGTTGGCTGTCCTTTCAAGATTTAAGATCAGCAAGAAGCT